GTTTTTCCTTCACCCATATTCATTTGAATGACTATACTTTTTACTGCATCAGCATCCACTCTGGCATGTGGATCCATCATATGGCGGGCTACTTTTACTTGAATTTCTCGAATAGTTATATTCATTTCCAATTCTAAGATTAGCCATGGAATATACTCGAATGGTGTCCAATTGGAGTGTGGTGTGTTCGATATTTCTTTTATGCAATCTTCCGATCTGTTATGAATGGCAAAATGCAAAGCTCTCTCTAACCATTGTTCCAATGTCCAACTGACAAGAGTACCACCTAATAACGTGCGTTGATCGATTGTCAAATCAAGTAATGCTACTTCTTGTAGAAGGCAAGATATGAGAGTTGTTGGTGTGACTCTTGAAACTAGACCTGTTTGGAATAATTGTTTATTACCTGCTGTGATAGATTTTACTAATTCATTCCAGTTTTCTGAAGATTCTGTTCGAAGAGTATGGAGAACTCGAGTGATCTCTGCTACTGAAGGACATCCTCTTTGAGTTTGTTGATCTGAAAGCAGGTTTTTCCAACTTTCAGATAGTTGATTTTTGAAGTAGTTGGTAATTTCGCTAAGTAGATTATTCTCGTTTAAAATAGATGTAAAAATCTCTTGCGGAAATGCATTTTTGTTATCAATAGTTTGTCGAGATGAAAATGATTTGTAAAGATTCATAACAGTTATTTTCAGGTCGTAATAAATTGTTAACAACGATGGCATCGGTTTTTTGAAGTTCAGGCAAATCGTACTGACGAATATGTACTGGGAGAAGCAACTGTGTATCATTGGTTCCACTAAATCCAGTGATAATCTTTGTTCTCACTGATGAAGACAAGTCCCAAGCAGATGAAACCAATTTACGTGGAAACTGTTTTGCTTCTCGAGGATAGACGAAATAATTTAGAAAATAATTGATAACCATCATATTGTGTTGAAAGATTGGAAAGAGATAACGAGTTCTTTGTTGATAATCTTTTATATTAACTCCTTTCC